CTGACCATGATGGTTTCCATGCCATCCGTAGTGAGTGCTGTCATACCAACATGGTGGACACCAGAACATAAACCCCAGTGGGCATCACCATTCATCAAGACAACATAGTGAACACCATCATGGCAACGATTACTGTTGTTCATGCCACCACAGTGGAAGCCATCACACCAGCACAATGGGCACCACTGCTCAGCTCGCTGACCCTGTTTGGCAACATCATGCCAACCCCATGTGTACCAACATCAGGCCAACCTGATTAAACACCGTTGTGCCAGTCCTAATCAGTGGGCACCATCATCCATCTTCATGCCAACCAACCCTGGTGGGTCCTATACCAATCCCAGTGGCTATCAACCACCATGCCAACTTTGTTGAATCGCAACCAGACAACTCTAGTCAGGCCTCCTGCCCACGAACCACGGAGCGCCCTACACCGACCTTGCTGGGCACAGCCATGCCAAACCCCAACACGGAGCCAGCTGTGGGAGCCCCATTCTCTAATAAGGACCCCACTCACTGGCCCTCCCAGCTCTCAAGGTTCCCAGGGGTACCTTGGCTGTGGATCCCGTGGTGTCTCTCCATCCATGGCAGCATCCTCCTGTGCCAGCAGCCTCTGGGCTTCCTTCTCTGCCACCTCCAGGTTCCCCTTAGGGGCCTCCTCTCTTGCACCCGAGTCTGCCTCCCGGAGAGTGAGCAGGACTCCGTACACTTCCTCGCAGTGCTCACTGTGAGACACTGATTTTGAGTGCTCCAGGACACCTGGCTCCATCTTGTCGTGCGGGTGACATACCCACTCGTCCTTGGATCCTTCATTCCGTCCCCCACTCCCACCCCTGGGAGCATGTAGACTCCTTCAGCACCCTTTGGGCTAAAATTGCCTTAGGGCGCCTGGGTGGCTCAGTTGTTTGAGCGACTGCCTTCGGCTCAGGTCATGATCCTGGAGTCCTGGAGTCCCGGGGTCGAGTCCCGCATCGGGCTCCCTGCTCAGCGGGGAGTCTGCTTCTCCCGCTGACCCTCCTCCCTCTCATGCTCTCAGTCTCTCATTCTCTCTCTCTCAAATAAATAAATAAAAATCTTTAAAATTGCCTTAAAATAATTTCTCCGGCGGGAAAGTGCCTTCCTTCAAGGGCCCCGACCCTCCCTGCGGATCATGCTCGGAGCATACCAATTCCCTTCCACGCTAGTGCTATCGTGGGTGGGACGCACTGACCTGTACCGCAAGGCCAGACGCAGCGCTGTGCCTTCGGCCTCCCGCCGGCCCAGCTGCATGCTCAGGCCTTCACACCGGCCCTTGTACGCCTGCAGCGCAGCTGACAGCAGACGGTTGAAACATTTGAGCTTCTCAATGCTCCTGCCTCCACAATTAGGGGAGAGGGAAAATGAGAGCCCCCCCACCCAGGGCAGTCAGGACCCAACTGATCTGCACCCTCCTCCCCACTCCATTCCAGCTCCAGACTCTTGGGCTGATAGCCCAGCTGGGGAGGCTCCGGTGCCCTTATGAGCTCAGCATTTGTGGCCCTTACCCCCGGAGCTGCTCCATCTGGGCTTCCATGATGTGTATCTCGGGGGCGAGGGGTTGAATGGGGAGGGGTCCAAGCATCTGAGCACTGGAATCACTCCGGAGGCGCCGGAGCAGGGGGTGAGCCAGAGAGAAGGGGTCCTGCTAGAAAGAGGTGACTTGATTCACCCAGAGTGTCATTGAGGGCCCAGTATCATGGGGTTAAGCCTTTTCCAACCCCACAAGCTACTGGATTGCAGGTCCAGGATTTGAGTCTCACCGCCCAGAATTCTAAAGATCTCAAGGTCGTGGTTTTAAGCTTCCTATGCTCACCTGAGTCCCCCAGGGCTCCTCATCTACCCCAGAACTGCTGGAGCCACTGCCTGAGCCCCCTGCTTGGCCCCGGGAGGGAGGTGGGAAAGGTTCCGGCCTCAGCAGGGAATCCTGCAGCTCCTGGACCTGGGGTGGGGGTGGGGAAGAAAGATGGAGTAGGTCAGGCCTGGCCTGGGAGCGCCAACCACCCACCAACCCTCCTGCAGACCTGTTCCTGGGACAGTGGCAAGGCCCCAGTTGGGAAGCAGGAACCTAGCTACTCACCCCACCAAACCCCCCACTATTAGCCTGGGGCAATTCACTTAGCCACTCAAGAATCTTCTTTCTTTAAATATATAAATGGCCAGTGGGTACACGAAAAGGTGCTCAACATTACTAATCATCAGGGAAATGCAAATCAAAACCACAATGAGATACCACCTTATACCTATTAGAAAAGCTACTATCAAAAAGATCAAAAAGACATTGGGGTGCCTGGGTGGCCCAGTTGGTTAAGCATCTGGCTCTTGGTTTCCGCTCAGGTCATGATCTCACAGGTCGCGGGATCGAGCCCCGCGCTCAGCGGGGAGTCTGCTTGAAGATGTTGTCCTTCTGCCCCTCCCCCCACTCACACGGGCGCACATGCATGCTCACTTTCTCTCTCTCTCAAAAATAAATAAGTAAATCTTTAAAAAAAAAAGACATGATGGGCGCCTGGGTGGCTCAGTTGGTTAAGCGACTGCCTTCGGCTCAGGTCATGATCCTGGAGTCCCGGGATCGAGTCCCGCATAGGGTTCCCTGCTCGGCGGGGAGTCTGCTACTCCCTCTCCCGCTCCTCCCTCTTGTGCTCTCTCTCTCTCTCAAATAAATAAATAAAATCTTTAAAAAAAAAAAAGACATGAGATAAAAAGTGTTGGGGAGGATGTAGAGAAGAGGGAACCCTCGTGCACTGTTGGCAGGATTGTAAATTGGTGTAGCCATTTATACAAAAGCACATAGTGCTCCCTCAAAAAATTAAGAATAGAACTATCACAGGATTCAGCTATTCCACTTCTGGGTATTTATGCAAAGGAAATGAAAAAACTAACTCGAAACTAACTCGAACCCCTTTGTTCATTGCGGCATATACTTGAAATAGCCAAGACATAGAAGCAACCTAAGTGATCACCAGTGGATGAATGGCTAAAGAAGATCTGGTGTATAAACAAAGGAATATTATTTGGCTTTAAAAAAAGAAGGAGGGGTGCCTGGCTGGCTCAGTCAGTGGAGCCTGCGACACTTAATCTCAGGGTTGTGAGCTAGAGTCCCACATTCCATGTAGATACTACTTAAAAATAAAATCTTTAAAAAAAAAAAAAAGAAGGAAATCCTGCCATTTGCCACAACATGGATGGACCTTGAGGGCATTATACTAAGCGAAATAAGTCCGAGAAAGACAAATACATAGTGATCTCACTTATATTTGGAATCTAAAACAAAAAAAAAACAAAAAATCGAACTCACAGAGAACAGGGTGGTGGTTGCCAGAGGTGGTGGGGGTGGGGAGAGGAATGTGGAGGGGGATTTCCTTTCCCAGCCAGGAAGTGGGCCTCCCCCCTCAGGCTGGGCTCTGGCACCCCATATCTTTCCCCCTTGTCCTGCCCAAGAGGAGGGCATGTTCCCCACCATCTCCTTGGGCCCCATGGCTTTAGATTCCGTCCACATGTGAAGAGGTCCAAATGTGTTTCTCCTATTCTGACACCTCCCCTGAGCTCTGGACTCAGACACAGAACTGTCTCTCTGATGGTCCCACATGGGTGGCCCGTGGGTATCGTGAGCTCATGACGGCCCAAACAGCTTCTGGTCTCCCTCCCACCAAACCTGCTCCTCCTGCGGCCTCCGCATTTCTCCCTTCCAGTCCCGCAGGCCCCCAAACCAGGACTTGTCCTCAACCCTTCTCTGGCTTTCACCCCCAAACCTGCCAGCTTCACCTTCGACACCACCCAGCATCGGCCCACTTCGTACCACCTCCACAATTGCCACCATCTGGTGTCTGGACCAGTGCCTCCTGATCTGCAGGATTCCGCACACCCACACGCTGTTCCCCCAACGGCCGCCAGAGGGCGTCTGTGAACGCTGCATCAGGATCCGCCCCCTTTTTTTTTTTTTTTTAAAGATTTTATTTATTTGAGACAGAGAGAATGAGAGAGAGAGAGCACATGAGAGGGGGGAGGGTCAGAGGGAGAAGCAGACTCCCCGCCGAGCAGGGAGCCCGATGCGGGACTCGATCCCGGGACTCCAGGATCATGACCTGAGTCGAAGGCAGTCGCTTAACCAACTGAGCCACCCAGGCGCCCAGGATCCGCCCCTTTCTGCTCCGGGGAAACCCTCCAGGATCCCACCAGGCTCAGGGCAAAAGCCCACTCCCAGCAGCCCACAAGACCCTATAAATCTGCCCGCATCACCTAACCGGCCCTCCTTCACCCCCACACTGGCCCCCTCACTGGTCCCTGAATCCCACCTCAGGGAGGGAGTTCCTTCTCTGCCTGGCATGCTCTTCCCCCAGATCCTTGCATGGCTCCTCCCTTACCTCTTCATTCAAGTGTCACCTCCTCAGGGGGCATCTCTGACCACCTTAACTAAGAAGGCAACGGACCTTTGTCTGTTCAGGGCTCGGCAGTCAATGCTCCATAAAAGTTTTTCTAACGAACAAATGCTTGAACATTGCCTATGCCAGGCCCGCCTCCCCCTTAGACAGAGAGACCTCAGAGACGGAGCTGCCCCACTCACCTCTCTCTGAAGCATCTCCTTCTCAGCCTGGATGGCCTGCAGCGAGGCCTGCATGCGAGTCAGCTCCTCCTCGCGGCTGCCCAAGGCCAATCGCAGCCAGTCATTCCTCTCCGCCAGGCGGGCTGCCTCCCTCTGGCAACCCCCTGCCCCCTCCTGCTCCAAGCAGGGCCTGGGTCCCACCTCACTCCTGTCCTCGGCCTCTGAGGGCCCAGGACAGCTTGGGGGCCGGTGGCGCCAGGCAGCAGCAGCTGCCTCCAGTGAGCTCAGAGCGCGCTGGAGAATCTGAAACATGTCAGAGGCTTCAGGCTTGGAGGGGACAGTCTCCCCACCCGGCGGGGCTACATCTGTGGCCTGCTGGCCTTCCTCGGCAAGCTTGCAGGGTCCCTCAGGAGATGGGGCCGGTCCTCTGCTAGTGTCCCCTTCAGCCTCTTTGTTGGTCCTGTGGTGAGGTGAGAGATGGAAGGTTCTGGAAATGGGGTCATCCGGGGTGTCTGGCTCACAGGGGCTGCATTATCCGGGGCCTTGAAAGTTGGGCTGAGGGGCGCCTGGGTGGCTCAGTTGGTTAAGCGACTGCCTTCAGCTCAGGTCATGATCCTGGAGTCCCAGGATCGAGTCCCGCATGGGGCTCCCTGCTCAGCGGGGAGTCTGCTTCTCCCTCTGACCCTCC